GGTTCAACAGAACTTATTTCTTTCCCAGTAGGGCGCCCCGCGCCTACTGGGACTTGACGTTTCCCCTGCCGTGCTCACCTATTGGCAAGGAGCAGGGTTACGGCTCTGCCGATTCTGACGTTGCTTTCGCAACGGACAGATAGGTCGAAGATGCCTAGTGCTTCCGCTCATGGGCGATCTACTGATGTCACCTTGCTGCTCAGCAGCTCAAAGCTCAGCTTCTTCGGCATGGCTGAGGTTCATGGGTTCCGCCCTATTAGAGGTATTTGATTAATACCATGGCAGACCAAATTGAGCACATTTGAAATAGAATTTAGCGTTTAACGCTATGCTTACTGCCTCTTCAAAAGTCGTAGGCTGGACACGAAAAACCTCTGTCCTGGCGACCCCAGTGCGAAGTCCTTTCACAAATATGGTTCCTCGGACTTCCTCTGCCAGAGGGTCCTGCTGCATAGCAGCAATGAGAGTTCTCAGCTCTTGAACATAGTCCGACAATCTTTCATACCCTGTCGGGTAGCTAAGAAGCGTGAGCGCACACGATAAGCCTGATTAGGCGGTGCAAATACGCAACTTAATTGCTAGTCAAGCATATCCCACGTGAGAAATGCGGTATTTACAGAGACATCGCTCGTTAGAGCCCACTCTCTAGCTCTTCCACCGAGCTTCGAAATGGACAAGCCAACTTTTTGCTTTCTGACACAGGTATGGCGTCATCCATTGCCATTTCAACTTCTTGGATCCAGAGGAGAAGACTTTCTCCCTCCTTCCCCTCAAAGGTTTTCACGTCTAAAACGAGTGGGAGAGCCTTTGGCTCTGCATCAAGCACAGGGATATACTGCGTAGACGCAGCTGATGCTGCCTGGTAATGGACCAGCCCGAGTAGCGTTGCTTCATAACGCATAAAGGCTTCAAGGCGAGCATTAAGGATCTCCGGGCCTTGGGCCGAAAGGGCCTCGATTTAATCGTACCAAACAAAGGCAAATAATTTATCTAGCGCGAGTCGTTGCGCCTCAGAGAGGTAATTTTGATTCTCCATTCTCACAGAGGGTAATTCTTTAAAGACTCAGGTGTAGGATTGACTACGAGTGCTACCAAGTGTAGCAGAGCTGGACAGCTCTTTAGCCAGAGGAAGACTTTAGGCTAAAAGCCTCCTAGTTCTAGAGAATTAAATAGAGTTAAGGCTAAAGCTAATTAGTTCTAAGGACCTAATTAAACGACTTAAAGCCCTCCTGTTCTAAGGAACGAGGAAAGAGACTTTTAGTCAGCAAGCAATAAGCTAAAGGTTCAGAGAACCAACGCACAGCAGAGTGCAAGAACAAGATATAAGTGTATAGGTTCCAAGAACCAACGCACGAAGTGCACAAGAGAGCAAGGCAGAACGACTTGAGATCTTTAACTCAAAAGGAGAACTGTTTTTATTTATGCATTAAGATTTTATGTATAGTCCTACTCTAAGTACCCTACTCTAAAATAATTTCTATAAAAGTAATTATAATATGCAGACTTTGCTATTGGACGACGTATCGTCTAAACATCTGTGTATGATGTACTTAGTACAGCGTTCTCGATTATCGAATCTCAATCGATAAGATACGGTATTCAATAATACCGTATCTTTAACGCTTATACTTCATACCTCTGTAAAGAGAAGTATCAAAACGCATTATATGCAATTGGAAGAAACTTCAATCGTCAACTTTCGGAATGATGTTACAACCGTCGTGTAACCCCGTTACACTCTCCCCCACCAGACTGACGTTTCCATAGAATTTCATGCGACATCTTTCCTCTCTAAGGTAGTGCTTTAGCGAACGTTTAAACCTCACGGTTTGTTCACGGCGCATAACATGACGCCTCCCGGCAGTGAGTCACAGACTCTACGGGAAATCATTGAAGGCGACCTTGACAAAGAGGGTGGTTACGAAAGTACCACCGTATTTGTTGGACCCAATGGGTCCCCTTTAGCCACCCTTACGGGTGAAGATGACAGTAGTCATGCACCGAATCCTTTCCCTGAACGTGGTGCTGCAGATGCGCTAACAGCGTTACGTGACCCGCCTGACGTATCGTCAACAGCGACGATTACTAACCCACTCGACGAGCAGCAGCAGCAGATTGGTACCTGTACTTTCTGTAATCTTCGAGGTTCCGTGTACCGTTTCTGCACCCTCAGGCGTTGGACCCTTGTACCCTGAAGCCCTGGACCCTGTACCCTGTACCCTCGACCTTTTACCCCGAACCCTGGGCTCTAGTACCCTGTACCTTGTACCCTGTACCTGTACTCTATGCCCTGGCCCCTAGACCTTGGTACCCTAGTACCCTGGACCTTATACCCTGTACCCTGGGTCCTGGGCCCCAATTCTCCTGGCACTTCTCCACAACAGTTGCGTGGTTAAGTTCAAGTGCGAATAGAGCTCCAGGATATATTTGGCCTCTAGTAGCAGCACCCCCCAAGACCCGCTATCGGAAGCGGTCTCCATTATTTCACGGTCCGGGAGCAAAGTAAATGTCAGGTGGTTGATACCCCTGAAACAGAAGGAAAAGGCCAGGGACGACAAGCGCCCCTGAAGAATTTGGCTCGAAGCCCACTCTCTACAAGGTCGATCGAGTGGCCACCTACCGGCCCACCGAGTGAAGCATATCCACTCAAGGCCCCCCAGGTCTACCTCCCTCAAGGCAGACGTCTACATGTTCACCAAGTCTTCCGAAGAGTGCAACCCTCCAGACGAAGGGTACACAAGGTGAGAGATGGTCCATACGCGGCATCGGGGTACCCCCTCCGACAGTCGGCAGTCCGGCACAGTGAGTGGTTTGGAGTCATATCATACAATTTTAAGAATCCACTTTACCACAACTGTAACGGGGTTACAAGACGGCTGTAACATCATTTCGAAAGTTGACGGTTGAAGTTTCTTCCAATTGCATATAATGCGTTTTGATACTTCTCTTTACAGAGGTATGAAGTATAAGCGTTAAAGATACGGTATTATTGAATACCGTATCTTATCGATTGATATTCGATAATCGAGAACGCTGTACTAAGTACATCATACACAGATGTTTAGACGATACGTCGTCCAATAGCAAAGTCTGCATATTATAATTACTTTTATAGAAATTATTTTAGAGTAGGGTACTTAGAGTAGGACTATACATAAAATCTTAATGCATAAATAAAAACAGTTCTCCTTTTGAGTTAAAGATCTCAAGTCGTTCTGCCTTGCTCTCTTGTGCACTTCGTGCGTTGGTTCTTGGAGCCTATACACTTATATCTTGTTCTTGCACTCTGTGCGTTGGTTCTCTGAACCTTTAGCTTATTGCTTGCTGACTAAAAGTCTCTTTCCTCGTTCCTTAGAACAGGAGGGCTTTAAGTCGTTTAATTAGGTCCTTAGAACTAATTAGCTTTTAGCCTTAACTCTATTTAATTCTCTAGAACTAGGAGGCTTTTAGCCTAAAGTCTTCCTCTGGCTAAAGAGCTGTGCAGCTCCGCTACAACAACACCTTGGGTCATAATAACTATCATGATCCAGGTAACCATCAGCCGACGGTGAAAACCGAGAGGCTTAAGTTCCCGAAACATCAACAAAGCTAGGTCGCAAAGTCCAAGCTTAAATTGTTCAGGATGAAGGTGCAGGTTACACTAATCGGTAGGCTCCGAGAAGTTCGGACCGTCAACCTGGTCAATCGCTGATGCAACGAGAACATATAATCGACGCAAATTTGATGCATTTTTGGAAAGCGACCCCGTCATGAAGACCCTTATAAGATAGCTGTTTGGACAGCTCAGTGGGACCAGTCTCGACCCTACTAGTCTGAATACGATAATCGACGCGATCACCGCGCTAGTCACCCTCCTTTGATAGGGATGGTTGCAGTAAGTTTCGAGACAGAGGACTTGCTGTTTATCGATTTCGACAGCATCGCAACAACAATAAATTTTTTTTTACAAACATTTAGTTATTCTTGTCCGAATAACTTCGTCAAATGGCGACTTATCTTCTGCGACTAACGTGAAGGATTCGCCACAGGATAGCCAGATGACGCTCCAAGACATCGCGGTCCCCCTTAAACGCAAGATTCGACCGAGAACCCATGTACGAAACAGAGTCTACCACATGAAAAGCTGCCGCCAGGTATTGAAGTCGCGGCTGGTCATCGGTTGCAACGTTCATCTGTTACTATATATAAAAACCAGGATGCTACGGGGACTGACAGGTGCGATGCTGCATCAGGCCCCAGCGAGGGGCGCGGAGCAGGAACAGCGAGCTCACAAAACGGTAATGCGTGTACCAATAAAAAACAGGTTTGCGACAGGTTAAATTTCAGCCAAATTCATTGGATGGTAGATCATGGTCTTACATCGGTAGGCCTGTTTCCCTTATGGGTAGACCTCGGTTACTCAATAATAAAGCCTTATGTATCGATGAATGAAAATCCGGCGTGACTACCAAAAAGCAGAATTACCTACAAGATCAATCTGGTGAAGACATGCGCACGCTCAAACCACCGGATTGTTAAACAACTGAGGGGGCGGCTGTGGTTAAGTGCTTTTTCGAAATTTGGAGGTCCGAGGGGGGAGTCGGACTATTAGGACAAGGGACCGCGTACCAAGGAGAAGGGACCGGAGAGAAAGGGGATTTCGGAGTGAAGCAACCGTTGGCTGAGAACAATCTGCAGGGCCAACAAAGAAGAGATCATTACCAGGGTATCGCTTGATTGGTACCGAAAGGAGTCGACCACGGTCCCTCGTCGGGAGACTTGGGTCTGTGGTGAAGTGGAAATCCGCTGCATCTGCAATTTAATCATGTTCAGGAAACTCACTACCCTGCAAATTACCGTGCATCTATCCGTCGGACCAACTGGTACATTTCTTGGTTTGTTTGTAAACCATTGTATCTTTTACGCATTTCTTTTCTTTTTGGAATTGTTTTACAATTTTTGCAGTGATTATTGTCTAAATAAAATAATGAGGACAGATACAGTTAATAAGAAATTCTTATATGAATTTTACAATAACATTGACCCAAATTTCAGACAACGTCATGGAAGGATCGACTCTTAAGACGTGGCTACTGGGCAAAAAGGTCGGATCGGGTGCATGTAGTGACGTATATATCGGTGAGTTTAGCCTCTAATCTACCCGATGCATTAATTTTCATCGTAATACTCTTCTTGTGTGTTGCAGTGGAGTCGATAATCCCGCTCGGTAGCGACGCTAACCGTCAGTACGTCATGAAGCTCTCTCCATTGCCACAATTACCAGCTGCTAAGCTTAAAAACAAGAAGAGAAAAAAGACTCAAGCAGAGCGCAATGCTGATGCTCTGTATGCTGAGCATCTGCTGTACAAGAACCATTTAAGAGACCAGCCTGGCATTCCATATGTACCATTAGGAGCCTATGGAGAGGATCAGGTGGGGATGAATCTGGTGCTGCAACATACGTGCAACATGCAGTACTGTGTGGCTAAATTTCTATTGCTTTGAGTGCAGGGATACCGATTTCTAGTAATTGAACGGCTTGGACGTACGCTCGAGACAGTTTTGCAAGAACAAGGACCGGTCCCATCGCATACGGCGGCTCGACTAGGCCAAGAAATTGTAGGCACTAGAGCTGAAGGACTAGTAGTTGAGGCACTATTATTGAACGGGTGTTTACTACTTGATTTCTTGGCTTGTAGTTGAAGACTTTGGAGCAGATGCACATAAAGAATATCCTCTATGTGGATGTCAAGCCAGAAAACTTTATGCTGGACACGGAGAAAGAGAACAAAGTATACTGTGTGGACTTTGGTATTTCGGATCGCTATGTGACAGCAACAGGCAAGCACAAAGAATATAAAGAGGGGACGGTGGTGGGGACGCCAACGTTTCTCAGCCTGAATTGCCATAATGGTGTCAGTACGTTCGCTCGTTTGTATATTGTCTATTTTCGTATAATTCTTTAACTCTTATATGTATGTAGCGTCAAGCCGCCGAGATGATATCGAGTCGCTCTTGTACGTGTTAATCTACTTAATGCGAGGCGATCTTCCTTGGCAGAAAGCATCAAGTGACGTCGAAGGTGCCAAGATCAAGAAGACAATTTCGATTGACCAGTTGTGTGCTTCATTGCCTCGAGAATGGGCTGCGATGCTGATGAGTATCCGTGCGTGTGGTTTTGAGGATCGGCCAGACTACGACTTCTTTGTGCAGCAGTTCTTAAATTTAGGAGGAAAGAAGGGCTTGACTACACCGTTCGAGTGGAGCACACGCAAGACGAGCAAACTGGTACGTGGGCTCAATATAATCAGATACGTAAACGTAGCGCTATGACACTTACTGACCGGTGTTGTTTTGCTACCAAGGCTGCTAAGCAAGTACAATCGCAAGAATACGCTACTGACAGCCCCGTGCGCAAGCGCGTCAAAAATGTGGACAAAGAATCCACTGCACCTCAAGCACTTGTCGCCGCCAAGACAAAGAAGGCAGTTCCTTTCGAGAAGAAGAGGTTGAATACTCGCTACAGCAAAGCGGCCGCAAAGAAAGATGCGGCTCCAGCTCACGACACTACGTCGAAGACCACTAAAATACACAAGAAGGATGAAGATATTCACGTCAAAGTCGTTGACGTACTGCCTCAAGATCGAGAAGTTTTCAAAGCTATTGCAAGCCACGCTGCTGCTACTGCTGCTGTTAAGCGGTACAACCTACGCTCCGCTCCTCGGAAGTAATTTCTTTATTAACAGACAAATACAAGTCGCAACGTAATGCCCACCGCTCAATACAGTTGTTTCTTGCAATCATTCCATCCTTTCATTTTTCGTGTCAATCATGACCGACCGCGATGCTACTGCACGAGTGACATATGAGTTGCTACGTACACACGGAGACTTGGATACTGCTGAGACACATAAGGAGATTCTAAGAACAGTAAGCTCCGTGGACGTTGATCGCCAGAGCGCCGAGGTCTTACAGCGTCTCCATGCAACAGAATTTGGTCGGTCGAATACGCGTTTGTTACTTGTCGTTGCAAGAGGTTGTTTCTAAATAATTTGCTGTTATTTTGTAGCGTTTCTACGAGGAAAAGAGCTTCAAGAGAAGAAGAATCAAGTGTCTAAAAGACGGAGGCAATTGCGGAACGAGTGGAGACTTAGACAGAGTATGACGCCACAGGAAGGAGCGACAATCGAAGATGTCCAGCGACACTTTCCCAAGCTGTTTGAAGGAGTGAGACGCTGCCATTTCAGGGAGTTGTAGGAGGTGATGAGGATCTCATGTATTGTGTTGTTCTGTGCAGGTGATGGACGAGAGGAAGAAACATAGAAATCTAAACGCTGAAGTTAATGAAAGCGTGGGGGTAACGCGTCAGTCCCAAGGAACAATTCAGCCACTGTTGTCTCCTGCTGTGAATGAACGTGGAGCTACTATTTTGAGTCTGCCAGCGATGGTGGACACATGTAGGAATGACTTGAATGTCACGATGGACGTGTGGAATGGACCGCCACAGGTCGCTGGCTTTTCAATGCCAAACGAGGCTGTACTTCAGCCCAAGCAAGCTCTTAGTGACATGCTGAGCAAGAGATCAAGGCTACCTCATGAAGATTCAGAGTTGTTTGGTGTTGACACTCGTTCCAATCCCGCAAAGCAACGCAATTTGTTCCAGACTGCTTCAGAACGACTCGAGGTAAGACATCATTTGCTACTTCCGAGTGAATAGCGCCTTTCTTACGTGTTTGTGCGCTGCAAGAACAGCATGACCGCATGACAGGAAGAACTAGAGATATTGACGATGATCAGCCAAAGAGCAGAAATGGACGACGAAGGGATCTCCGGGGTCCTCCACGTGGAATTTATCACCCTGTCAACCAAGACGTTCTCCTTGGCGGGGGCGGAAATACTGACAACGGGTACATGTATGGGTCAAGTGCAGTCAGCAAAAAGTTTGTGTCTCCAATGGGCGAACGGGGCGCGAATAAAGCGTAAGTGTTGTCTGTTTGTTTGCAGTAAACAGCTTACATGTTGACATTCAGATTGTGAGTAGCAGTAACAAACAAGTCATACGTCCTGATGAGGACAAGGATATGGATCCACGTCTCAAGAGCTGTGATCCCGAGCTAATTGAGAAAATCGAGATGGAAATCGTCGACAATGGGGACCCAATTACATTCGACGACATTGGTATGCATATTCTGCTACTTCCTCTCGTTAAAACGACAGGCGTGTATTAATGTCGTGGTATTTCATGTTAGCTGGACTGCAATTTGCGAAGAAGTGCGTGAACGAGCTGGTTATTTGGCCGATGCAGCGGCCAGATATCTTCACCGGACTTCGTTCTCTTCCAAAAGGTGCGTTTGACTGTACACTGCTAATAGTGCCGGTGATGTTGACTGCTATCACGTGGCTTCATTTGAAGGTTTGCTATTATTTGGACCACCTGGTACAGGAAAAACATTAATTGGCAAAGCCATTGCAAGCCAGTCTGGTGCGACCTTCTTTAATATTTCTGCTAGCTCGTTAACGAGCAAATGGGTATGATGTAGCACTCAAAGCTGTGCTTTATACGTGAATCCTAATGGTCTTGGTTTTTGTTGACCTTCATTAGATCGGCCAAGGGGAAAAGCTGGTTCGAACACTATTTGCTGTCGCAGCGGTGAAACAGGTATTGCAGGAGGCTTCCAGGACGATGCCTTTACTTACAATTCTACTGTTTGATAGCCCTCCGTGATATTTATTGATGAAATCGACTCGCTATTAACGCAACGAAGGTCAGTTGACATCCAACTTTCACCTTCCTTGTCGCAATGTTGTTTTACACCTCTTTTTTTACAGCTCGACAGAGAACGAAGCTAGTCGACGGATGAAGACCGAATTTCTGGTGCAGCTTGACGGTGCTGGCACAAAAGCGAAGGATATCATTCTCGTCGTTGGTACGATGTGTGATGAAAATTATCGCATCACAATTGTATGAACACCAGGCTTTTTCGGTATTTGGTTCTGTAGGTGCCACAAATCGACCACAAGAGCTTGATGAAGCAGCACGTCGACGATTCGTGAAACGCTTGTACATTCCTCTTCCTTCGCTCGAAGCCAGACTAGATTTGGTTAGCAGGTTGCTTAAGGATAACAAGAATGACTTGTCAGGCGAGAATATGGCATTCATTGCCGAATCTACTAAGGGTTAGTACACGGGATGTTACTAGTACAAACTGATATTGCTGACAATGAATGGGTCTTTTTACTGTAATAACAGGATACTCTGGTGCAGATGTTCGGGCACTATGCACGGAAGCAGCGATGGGTCCTATCCGAAGCTGCGTTGATATTCGCACGATGACTGCCGATTCTGTTCGTCCCATTATCTTGGACGACTTCATTGAGGCATTGCGAGGGGTACGTATGAAGCAATTGAAGACAAATACATGTGTTAACATCTTCATGTTTTCAGGTCCGTTCCAGCGTCGCGACAAAGGACCTCAGACTTTACAAAGAGTGGAATGAAGAGTTTGGAAGCTTTGCTTTTGAACGCCACGAATCTTCTTGAGATATAAAGCACAAGTCAGAATACAATCGAGCTCGTATTTGTGGTCGATGTTTACATTAAAAGACCTTCTTATTGCTCCAATCTGGGTTTCTACGGAAGTCGGCTATGACTGCGTGCGTCCTCGTAGAAATCGCGGTAAAGCTGGGCGCATTGGTTTGGCAAGGTAAATAGAGGTTGAATCCAGGGTGGTGGCGCTGCACGATATTCAGGTACCTGGAGATAAGTAGTCGGGTTCGTCGAACGGCATATTAAGCCTTCTTCGCTTCGGAATCGGCTCCAACGAAGACCCGACGTTGCGAGTTGAAGCCCGCACAATGGTCAGGGCCATTGACGGGCAGCTTTCAATCTCCTCGCGAAAGTTCTCGTCGTCGACAATTTCGTTTGTGTTGTTCATAAAGAAAGCGAGACAGTACTCTTTCAAATATGCGGCATTGAACTTTTCCGCAGCGCAAAGAAATCGCCCGACATTTCCGACGGACAAAACATCCTTTGCTGCGACTTCGCAGAGGTGCTTTAGTGGCAGTAGTAGATACTGCTCTGATAAAGTTAGCAGATCAATGAGTTGCTAAACCACATGGATAAACAAAGCAAGAGCACAATGTTAGCTCGTACCACATACTCACAAAATACGAACTACAGCTCATGTACGTTCGAATTGAGCTTGGCCATATCCAGGACGCGGTTTGTGTAGATGAACTCGAGCATCTTAGACACCATCTCGGGCGAATGGTCTTCGATACGAACGACTCCGTCCTCACTCTCTTTCATCGCTCCACGACGGAACATGGCCTCAAAAATCTCACATCTTGTGGTCAAAATCAACCGGTGCACACGCAGAATTTCTCTATTTGGTCCAACCTCAAGCATAATGTCACTTCCATCTCCGTTCTAACAGCATTAAATGAGCAAAAAACAGTTACAATTTACACCTTCTACACTCAGATACCACCCCTTTATTTTTACCAGAAAAAGCTCCCTCATTGTTGCAAAGTATGCTTCATCACTGTGACTTGGCAATGTCAGTATCGTTGGTATCACCCGACGTCGCACTAGAATAATATCATTCTACCAGCAAGAAAAAATTAATGCATAAAACCCCAAATTTTCAAACACTTTTCATGAATTTTTGTACCTTTTGCAAATGTACCGACTCGGGTGAATCTTCCGGATCCAAGCGGTTCTATCCATACATTCCCATAGTTTATTCCTGTTATTTTCATACACACTTAATCGATAAAAAAAAACAATTCATTGCATTCTCGACCGTAAAGAAAAAGTCCAGCGATTCTCTTGGTAATCCATGATGTTTACTATAATGTCGAAAAAGCGATGAAAATCGCTGGGTCTTTTGCATAAGACACGAGTACATATTATTGGCCGATACGCGCACGATCGAGCGCTCTTTGCCCGCTAACACCAGATCTTCTGCTGCCTATTGATTGACAATTAATAATGACCATTCGTACGTACATATTGTACTATATAAAAGGCGTCTAGTTCGGTACCTTGACGGTAAATTCCACATTCTCGGGACGTACACTTCGGTTCATGAGAGACGGGTGTAGTACAAAAGGCGTCTTTTACTAGTTTTAGTGTCACTAGCCAGTAATCAAGTGAAAAGATGATCAATTGTAGCTATATTTGATTGCAAAGGTGATAGACACCCGTCTTTGTGCAATTTGTAAAATCGAAAAATGTTTACCGCAGCTGAACTACACCCAACGTATTCACATCCCACTGTCGTGTCTCATATATGTAGCCATTTCCCTCAAGCACATGATCTACCGCCTGTGCAACATCCCAAATGATTCGACATCGGCCACGAATAACATGATCGAGCTCGACAATCACATCAAAAATTGGATTGCCAGCTCGCTGTATCTGTAGTTTGCTCTTGTGTGATGCCTTGGCCTCTGCGTCGCCTACAGTCACTTGCTGCGAGCCACCCACTAAGCCCTTCAGGTCCGGATTCTTAATCAATGCTCGAAAGTCACCGTGTGCACTTGCAATCAACCGCGGACCACGCTGACGTACTGTCGATGCAGCCAACACTTCGGCCTTCCGACCAATTTCATCGACAATCAGCGTCTCCACCGTGTGATTCTGCACGCACTCGATCATCACACCTGCCTGGGCCTCTAGAGAACGAACCATCATGCGTCGTGCCCATCCCACGCATGCGTGTGGCACCAGACCGTCACCGCCAATCTCGTTCGACGTGTCAATGATGCACACATTCTCCATCGTGTCCGACACACACCTCGCCACGTCTCGGATGAGCGTCGTCTTGCCAGATCCAGGATGGCCCAGCACCAACACCGACTTGTTAGCATGGTGCTCGCTCAGTAGCAAATCGGTCAGCACGCATGCGGCATTACGCAGTGCTCGACCAACGCGCATAGTAAGACCGAACACCTCGTCGGTTTTGCTACGCATGACCGAGATGCGGTGCAATTGCCTGTCAATGCCGGCTCGGTTGTCGCTACCAATCCGCATTTCTCCGCCGAGGTTCGTAAGGATCTCGGCGATCGTATCTTTTGACACTGTAGCACCGTCCTTACTGAGTACAACACGCTGTTTCTTGCCGGTGTACGCGAATGGAACGCGGCCCGTATCGATACAGATATCAATGAGGTCGTGGTAGTTGTTGAGGGCGAGGATGGCATCTTTAAAAGATGCAGGAAGAAGATTTAGCAGTGGCTCCAGCTCACATTCGAGCTCAAGCTTCGGGGCTGGTATCACCGTGGAATTGTCAGCAGCAGTTGAAACAAGACATTCGAGACTGCGTGGCTGGTAATAGTGCTCAGGGTCAAACCAAATTGCTGGGTGTCCCTGGTTCGTGATGGCAAATTTCCACCGGTCACTTGTCATCGTTGCACAGTTTACTTTCACTGATGGCTTAGCCTGACTATCAGTGTAACAACTCGCATACAACTGTGCGCTTTGAACTAGCGCTTGCTGCAGCTTTTTGGACAACGGTCCACTTGTCCACTTTCTTGAACGCAAGGGATCAATTTTCGCTTTGTACGAGTACGCGGTTTGCGCAAATTTTGTTGCCATGTCTGGCGAGCAGCAGTTGACAATCTGTAAGATTGTCGCATTCATCACGGTCTTGTCCACCGTGCTCTCGAACAGCAGCTGCAAGTCGACGCACTTTGCGAGCGTGGGTCTTTCTAAACCGAAACTATGAAGCCAAAACGCGACCCGGTGGATGTTGTGCATTACTTTGCTGACTGAAAAATCTTCCAGCAATCTCTTGAGTCCCGTGATGACTCGGCTTTTACTGAGGGAAGCCAATAGCACCAGCACTGCGACTTCGTCGGGTGCACAAGAGGAGATAGCAATTGCCACCACTTGGTCGGGCTCGTTCTGGTCGACGTACGGCCCTGCAAACTGGAAGTGCACGCCGACACATGTCTTTCCTGAAGGACCAAATGAGTTGTTGTTCTTGTCGAGAAAACTTTGTAACTCCGATTCTTTCGTGATGAGCAGCATTGGTAGCACAACGTTTTGTACAGCGGTCGAAATGGTGTTTGAATTTCTAGAAGATTTGGGTGCTTTTGCCTCGTGCTTGACCATCCATTTCGCTTCCGTCATGCCCGTTACAAAGACGATAATGTTTCGAGTAAATTTCCTCTTGCGTATCGCCAACTGCCGGACTATCTCGTCACTTGCCATCAGTCATCGTCACACGACATCTTTCTCAGTCTAGAACTTGCAAAAAAAGATGGATCGTTCTCTTTCTCGGGAGTTTAGCAACAAGAATGAATTTGCAAAGTGGGTGGTCGATGATGCCTTTACCAACAAAGTGGTGCTCTTACATTGCGATGCCAGCTCATATCGAGAAGAACTACTTAAGTTTGCCGGCCGATGGCCAACTAGTCATTTAAAGAAGCTCGATGACAAATACAAGAACAACATGGCTTGTCAGCATCCAACGGATGATTTACTTGAGCGAATCTCAACTCTGCGAACACAACTCGCATCAATCACCAATGCTTTATTCTCGGTCAACGCTCAAACGAAATCAGGCAAGCGATATAGTGCTGTTTTAACTCTCCAAGCATTCGTTGACGAGCTGCAAGAGAATGAGAGATTATGGGCTAATCTTGACTCCTCCACCAAATTCGTCTTGGCACTTCCGCTGCGCAAAAAGCCCGAGATGCGGCAGCTTCTACACGTAGTGGGGAAGGATGTAAAAACAATCTGGGGCGACGCCGTTCAGCGGGTATTAATGATCATGCAAAGGGAGCTGAAAGACGCAGAGATGGTAGAGGGGTCATCTGCATTACAAAAGTCGTACGCGCTAGCTCGTGACCACGTTATTTCTCAGGAATTTCGAGCTCTATTGAAGAAGTGGAGTTGCCAGAAATCGGCGCGTCGTCATACGCTCACTCCAGTGAACCGGAATGGCAGAGTTTACTGCCAGATTGAAGAATCTCTGTCAAAGCGATCAAACGGGTTTAAGTCTACGCGGGACAGACCTGCGCTAGGTAGGCATGCGACCGAAACGACCCACGAATTATACAGCACGGTATATCCATTCAATTTTGATAGCACAGGACCCACAAAGACTGAAGAACTCGGCGCACGCTTCAACTGCTTAGGCGTTCGTGATAATCTGTCGCCGTCACCAACGCAGTCTGAAACTTGTCATGGCACGTTTTCATCCGGTGTATTCGGAGCAAACAAGCTCGAGCTCCGACGGTACTTTGATTACTCGCCAAGCGACAAGTGTTGAATCTTCCCGTATCATTGCGCAGCGAGAGCAATTTCTTTGAATTCGTGTTTTCATGTTGCAGTCCTTCTAGTTTGTATGGGTTTGTTTTCTGTTTGTTATTTTAAAAGTGTGATCAAACCCTTTGTTCGTGTCTCGGTATCAAGTTTGCTATTGCTTGATCTAGCTTGTAAATAATCGTCAAGCACCAACTTATACATGATGTATGATCGTCTTTAAGTAGAGAACCTCCAATCCGGTTACGATGCTTCACGCAACGTGGCAGAGCCCATTTTGTTATAGTGTCTTCCATTTACATTTGTGCTTAATGACAAGGAATGGTAAAGATTGAAGTGCAATTAGGGCGGAAGCCGTCGAGACCGCTAGACCGACATAAACGTCGAGCTGCCAGACAAGAATATTTATAAACCAAAGTCACGCTTGCCACCGGCAAAAAAAGGTGGCCTAGTTGACTGGGCTCTCTTTTACAAAAATTGAAGCCTTGTCCTCATGCTGGCAGCACCAGGAATTACAGGCTTGTGTTGGCACTAGCATCTTCGACCAATAAACCGTCTCAGGAGTTTAAGGCACATGACCTTGGATTCCCCCGTTATTCCTTCAATCGCACTTGGTAACTCACAATGTTTAGTGTGTGTGTTTTGCGGTCTGCGCTAAATTTTCGAGACTGCGTGCAGTCGTTCACTTCACTGCCAGCAGCTTCACTTGATATCTCCCAACCCAGGAAAGTTTTTGATCGTCGTTTGTGCTGAAGTCGTGCTGATCATCGACTTAGAAGTTGCTTATTCAAGTCTTCAGCTTTTGGTAGACTACTACATCGTCATGAAGACCATCAGTCTCTGCGTCATTCCATGAAAGAATCGTTTGTACAGAGCAAAACGTTGTTTGGTATTGGCGAAGCGAGCGATTCTGAGGCCTATGCAGTGAAAAGTCAAGCAGTTTGGGACCGTCAGCAGCTTGAATGCAAGTATCGATTGCATGCCCGTGCTGAAATGAAAGCCTTATGTCGAAGGCTTATTGTTACCGTCTACTTCCAATTAAGAAGGAAAAGCGTCATTAAGCAAAAAAAGTTGATTTCAAGTGCCCCTTTCAACATGTAGAAAACGACTTGGTGTATGACCTGCTTTACGTCTCAAGTTACTGATCGGCGGTGGCACTGTGTAAGCCCGAAGAATTAGAGCTTCATTGTGTCAATATGGACTAATTGGGAAAGGGGGAAGAATGCGCGTCTATTTTTCCAATATGCAGCCAACCAAATATTGTAACATTGGTGGACTGGTGCACACAACGGTGGCTGTGGAATACATCCCCCACCAGCTTGACATGCTAGTGTTTGAGTCGAAAGAACCAATTTCGGTTCGTCGTGCTCTGGAGCTACCGCGTAATGCTTCGCGAGGTGTCGCCCAGTTGCACGATGCTCCAAAAGCCCCCTTTGCGCACACCGATCTGCAAGTGCGCCAGTTTCTGGTCGATACCGATGGCACGTGGAAGCTGAACGACTTTAATCGCGTAAAGGACGCGGGACTGCGCTTGGTGGACGGTGTACCAAGTGGTGAAAAATGTATGTTGTTATCTGAAGTCGGGAAAGTGGCGGTCTCCGGGATAGTACCAGCATCCGCGTCCAGATGAATAGCTACAGCTTGTCATCGCACGGGTAAAGTCGTTATGGATGTACTCGAAAAGTAAGGTATACGAGATGGTGCCAAAAGGTGTTGGGCCGTCAGTGAAGGAAATGAGCGACTATCCTCAACAAATGCAAGACCTTATCGTCAAAGGCTGGGACAACGTTGCTAAGAAATGACCGACCGTTACGGAAGTGGCTGACGAGATTGAACGTATTTTGGCGAGCTATAGAGATAGCAGATAGGACCATCGTCCACTTAATAAAGCCGAATTATTATGTTAATCCTCTTGTTGCAAAGCGTAGACACAAGAACACTTTGAAGTATAATAATGCAGTTCGCTAGCTTTCAGATAGAATACATGTATCGATCATTCTTGCAATGCTTCAGTTTTCCTTGTATTTCATTTCTACAATACCGCTCGCGTGCACTGACTTATAGATAGAAAACATGTACTCTCGTCTGTAAAAATAGTCGAGGAACAAGATCAAAGGGAAGCAAAGCGTTTTGTACGAAGTCGTGCAGCAGCTCAATGAAGTAGTGCTGTTTGTAGTCAAGGGACAGTTGCCGTTGCTTGGCGGTGAGAGGGCCCTCTTGAAAGTCGCTGAGTCACCACTGCCCATGATTTTTGGCCCGACAGCAATTGGTCATCTTGGGCACACTCACAACCGGCACTACGGGCAGTCAACTCGAACAACAGCCATCGAAGATGCACTTGCAGTGCAACGCGTTGCTTGCATGAAAGCACGAATAATCAGTTGTCCGTGTCCGTGCAATCCAAGCCACATTGCTGATGATTGTATCAACATCACAGATAGATCGTGCCCTGAGCCGAGTCTGGCACTAGTGCCTTTCTTCAACATCTAGATAATGTCGAGTAAACTCGCTCCATACATTCAACAGCAACAGCACATTGAACGAACGCTCTAGCTGCTAGGGATTGATGGAGTCGTCTAGGTTGATGGAGTCGTCTAGGTTGATGGAATCGTCTAGGGATTGATGTTAGTCGTCGACAATTTTTCTGTCCACCGACGCTTTCGTTCTCGAACAATAAGTCCATTTTCATCATTCAGGTCTGCGAGCGGTAAAGATATCGAGTACGAGTTCACCAAAGTTTTCATCTGCAGAAAATGCAAAAATGACGACAGTTTGAAAGCGATCAGCGCCTCCCACGCTTGCCACGTTGTCACTCGATTCTTAAACTCTTGCTTGGTTTTCGTATCATTTCTTGAGCCTCGGACAGAAAGGATTGTACGTCTTCGTCTGACAGGAAGCCAAAACCGAGCCATTCAATGCACAGGGGTAGCGACTCGGAAGTCCTCGTAGGCTAATTCACTGCAAAGCTGCATCGGAAACTGCTTCAAGAGCTCTAATATTTCCGCTGCATCGAAGCTGACTTGTTGACGTAAGCTGTCGACACTTCCGCTTTGAAGCAACGCCACACACACGATATAAAAACCAGCTCGCCCTGCCGCAACCTCTGATGTTCAGAGCTAACAGCATTATGAGCTGCTGCCTAGTACAACGCCACTAGCATTTTGAGTACCTCGAGCATCGATGTAAGACGCACCAAGTCGATATGAGCACAGAAACCCACAAGAAACGCCAGCAGTGGGTGTTGAACTTTACCGCTTGACGTATTCAGATCATTGATCTGCTTCATCACTATCGAAACAATATCAACTGCAAGGTCTTTTACGAGCATGCGCCCAGCAGTTGTAAAATGACAACTCGTTGTAGCACAGCTCCGATTTGTGCTCCACATGCTGTAAGACCCAATGCTTCCTGTAATGTACCAAAAAACGTCTGCTTGACCATCTCATCAGCTCGCCAACCGAGAACTTTTGCATCCCAGTATAAACCATTTCCAGTAGTTGGTCATCAAGGTGCGAGGCCACCGACTTTTGGTCGTCTTTCATATTTTTGCAACAGAGTAGCATTCTATCACTTACAACTCTTAGCAAACTTGCCACATCACGTCCGTCACGGCTCTGCGTCTCCTTGTCACCTCGATCCAACTCTTCCACAAGTCTCCAGATGCCTCGTACCGTTGCAAAATCACAAGTCACTCGATGGATTGTTCTTTCAAAACGCCAACGTCCCTTTATCACTTGTTAAAACACGTCCGGAAATGGAATTCCAATCCGTACTGCAGGCGGCAGCAGGAATGACCACACTGGGAAGCACGTCATGGCATGAAATCTGGGTTTGAGCTGCAGCGGACGTCATCTACAGGCGTCAGAAGCTTGTCCGAGTATCTGCGCATATGATGACAGCAATGCATCAAGCAGTACGTGCATAATGAGCTCAGCTGCCGACGAATATGTTGTATTGTATTGTTATGGTCCTGGATGCCATTGTCACTGTCCTGTCTTGCATGTCGCACCAGTTGTTGGCATAGCAGCGCCTAGATGCCTTTCTGTTGTGCAATACGACTCAACTGCTGAGCTTCTGGATGACGGAAAGCGTGTCGCACGAGCGATGATGGTGGAGCAACAATGCTATTGTTATTTGTAGTAAAAGGTATTGGCAGGAACGAGTCCACAAAGAGGCAGAGCTCGGGTAATACTCGGCGAGTGTCAGAAAGTGAACACTGTAGCATCCCCGTAGGCGTCACCTGTTGTGTATACATACGACGTGTTAAAATACTCACGCAATCGTTTGGCTGTGCACCAGAAAGAGCACTTCTCGCAGCTCTCGACGCTGCATGGGGTCCGTAGATACTACAACAATGAATACATGATCATGAACTAATTATTGCAAGGTCTAGGACGAGCCTTTCCAGCGTTGTAACAGCGGTACCACTAGTCAGCTCTGTATTCTCGTTTTCTGCCCTTGTCTTTGCCCATCGAGCAGTATACTATCCTACCGTCATTCAAATAGACGGTCTCTCCAGTATTTCGATGGAGTTATCCTGTCGTTTCGGCTGTCACCCCATATGGCTGTCTCTTTCAAAGCATTCAAGCACTTGGGAAAGGCTTTCTACAAACATGGCCATCTTTTTTTCTGCCACAGTTGCGTTTCGAAAGCCACATTTTTGCCGATGACTCCGCTTCTTCATGGCTTGCTTTACACGTTGCATTGCCTCAGTCATTAACGACGAGCTCGAGTTGCCTCACGGAGGTGAATGCTGATGTGTGTGTGGTAGCAGTTTTTCCTTGTTCAATAAACTCTCAAAATCGGATCAGCTCTGTAATCTCGTGTATATTTCTTTCTATTCCCGTCTATGTCCATACAGCAGAGCCGGTAATAATTCCCTCGTCGTCAATTCGCACTCGTCCCCAGCACGCAGTGATCTCGACTCCGCATTTCCAAATATTTGCCTTTAAGAACATGCATCCTCATCTCATGAACATTTGTGCGGTCATTGCTGTCCATTTAGTAACTGTTGGTGCGCATGATGTGTCACCTGACGTCATCACCAAGTCAGCTCCTGCACTTCAACTTGGTCAAGGAACTAAGCACTTGAGGACTCACAGGTCCACACAAGATAATGAAGAAGAGCGAGGTACCAATGATATTGCTACTGAAATGAGCTCGATGGCGGAGGGGGTCATAAGTGCCTCATCACCAGGGAAGGAAGACTTGGATCAGATTATTAAGTGGTTGTTTGCTGACAAAGATGACGGGAAGGCGGTAGACCAGGAAAATTTGAACGCCTACGTAGAAGACTTGAAAAAAGAATTAAGCGATTCCCCCACGCTCGTTGAGTCCTCTCAGCCCACGCTCGCTGAGTCCTCTCAGCCCACGCTTGCTGAACCCGTTCACGCTACGGTGGCTGAACCCGTTATAACTCGATTTGAAGACAAGGGTCCGGCTGAGTTCGATGAAGTACAGCATGGTCCAAATGTAATGAGCGGTCAACATCAATATCAAGAGCGGCTGGACGAGGAGATTATCAACCCCTCCGATTACTTAAAAACTTTGAAACTTGACAAAGCAGGGGAAAATTTTCTTGGATGTATGGGTATGCTCACGTGGATTAAATACGTAGATCACTTTAACGAGATACCGACCAAGAAATCAACAACTGTAATTGCTGCATCGAAGAAGGGGGGGTTCGAAGAAAAAACTTTGGAAGATATGGTTTTTTCATGGAAACAGCGCCAAGAAAGCATCATAAAGGAAGCGGAAAAGGACAAAGAACTTGATATTGTTGAGAAAAAAGACCTGCTTACTCGACAGAATGGAGCTAGAAAGAGAGTCCTAAATGAGCTGATGAAAGAATGGCTAGAAAAACGCTATACTAAAGGAAGCCTCCTCAATCATCTCGGTCTTTCGCCAGACCTCCCACAGACCGGGCGCGACGTACTTCGTTTCAAAGCATGGATGGAGTACGTGAGACTGCTGGCTGAAAAAAACAACAATCGAATGAAGGAAAACTTGAGGGCGCAAAGGGTTCGTTACAAATCGGCGATGTTCGAGTCTCTGATCCATGGAAATAGATATACTTTGGACCAGCTCGAGCAATTTTCGGAGGAATTGAAACAATTGCAGTTCGATGGGGATAAAAAATTGGCCAAGGAATTAGCCGAGTGGTGCAAAAAGAAGAACGAGGAAAAGAAAGGTCCAGGAAAAAATACATCGACTTCTCTGGATGCTCAAGGTAAACTAAAACAAAATAAGCGGAAAAGGAATATGTAAGCTCCATCTTAGAGATGCACTTCGCCGGTGGCGCTTGGCGCATATGCTGTCGCGATATGAATGGCCATAAGCGCGGAAAATCTCACCGATATGATGGAATCTCTGGGCAGGTGAGAAATGTTTCGTAGATGGCTTAGCAAGAATGTGATGAGGAGATTGGGTACGTCAGAAACAGACATCAACATTGAATGTAAGCTTCGACTGTTTATAACTTTTAATCTCCATTGGTAAGGTGTTTCGTCGTATCGACGAACATGGTCTGCCTTTCGACCTGTGTAACGGGGTGAGCCCGTTACATAATATTGACACTTATATGAAGTGTCAATAAAAAAATATTATAATAACTAACAATATTTTGACAATATTACCTTTTCTTATAATATTGTCCCTAGATCTCCTTGAAGTTGGAGATGCCCTCTCATTGGTTGATATGGGCCATTATATCAACCAACGCGCTGACCAATGACCGATGGACGCGCGCAATGAGTGGAGGGCAAGTTTTTAACATACATAGTTGTAGTTTAATATAGTTAACATAGGTTATAACAGATTAGTTTTATTAGATAGTTAACTATATTAAATACAGTTTTCTTTTCACTCTCAACTAAGCGTTTGTTTAGTTGATAAGCTTCCTCTGCTCACGTGTACGTGAGGTTCTGAGGCACCTGTTTCACTGTAATCAGTGAAAGTAGACTATACTGTAATCAGTATAGTCGGAGGGTGCCCCATTACACCTGGTAGCACTTCGTGGTCTGTTCAGCGACCACCGCACCATCCGCTATGGAATCAGCGGGTGATGAACGTCATCACGCAACGCGTGTTGATTTCCGCCATTTGAGTGACCTCGAATGGAATGCGGTTCAGCGTATGGCTGAAACCATCGGCAACCCTGCCGTTGGTGCCATGTTGATCTCTCTTAGCAAAGACGACCAACATGCAGCCATCGCCAACTTCATACAACATGAACTTGACGAAATTGTAAAGAACTCGCCTTTCTAGAGGAGCAAGGTTCTCAACAATTTGACCTGTTGAGAGAACAACTCACTTGTGGTTCGGTCGTTAGTACGACTGCACAAGAACTCAGCGTGACAGACAGTCACGCTGTGGAGCAATCTGCCTCCGGCTGTGCACAAGCACAGGCAGCGCCGAAGGTCCACCACTCGAATAAGTCGAGTGGACCAGGACATGAATGCTCGCCTAAAGGGCAGCATTCACCGAAGAGTAAGCCGGTTGCCTAGAAGCGGCAACACGGTAGTCCTAGATCAACTGGAGAGTTGATCGTAGAGGATCTCGCTGTGGTTGCGCCACCACAGCTAGAGAAAGTCGATGGAACAAGTTCCATCGAGCCTGCGGGAATAAGTCCCCAGGAAATAATCACTGAGGGAATAAGTCCCCCAGTGTGCTGAGGGAATAAGTGCCCAGGAAGTAACCGAGACGTTGATCGTCTTGGTTAATGACGAATCAAGCGTAGGCGCTTATACGCTTGATCTGATCGCGCCTCCGAAGATAACTTCGGAGATAACTCAGTTGCCTACGCTAGAACCTAAAAGGTTCTTGCGTGATCTGCGTAGTAGCAAAGTCAAGCAGATCTGTGTGCTCGTCGCAGAGGACGAGTACATGACTGACATTCGGTCAGCAACAGTTTTTGCTGAGAACGAACGGTTTCTCAGCAGCTCATCAATGGACGAAAGTGTCCTTGATGAGAAGACTCGGATTGAACGATATACATCGCAATCCTGGGAGTTATTGAAGTCAAATCCTTTGTACAAGGATTTGGTCGAATTGAAGGATGTGTTCTCTGAATCCGTAGCGTGCGAGTTGCCTAAGGATAAAGGTAATCGACACGAGATCGACCGTGTTCCTGGCACAAAATATTGTGTCATGAAGCAGTGGCCACTGCCTCGGGAACAGGTCGAGGCGATCGACAAGTTCTTTACCGATCGCCTAGCAGCGGGCCATGTGAGGGAGTCAACTTCACCTCACAGCTCTCCGACCTTCTGTGTGCGCAAGGCCACAGGAGGGTGGCGGATAGTACACGTGTTCAACAAGTTAAACGCTGCAACGATACCGGCGCAAACGCCAATACCGAGAAAGGACGTAATCATAGATGGTATGTCTAAGAGTACCATCTTTTCGTCCATGGATCTGATGGATGGTTTCTATCAGATCCTAATGCGTGAACGGGACATCCCGTACACAGCAGTGAGCACTCCCAGTGGTATGCTCGGGGAATGGTTGGTGATGCCGCAAGGGATTAGTAATGCACCAGCTATATTCAATAGATGTGTTTCACATCTATTGCGACCGGTGCGCGAACTCGCACCGAGTTACTTCGATGATGTGTTCGTCCATAGTCGAGCTATGGACGGGAAAACAGACATGGAATTCCATAGACTCTACGTCCGTAAGGTTCTTACACTTATGAGCGAGCATAAGTTGTACGCCGGCCTCATGAAGTGTATATTTGCAGCTAGCGAAATACCACTTCTTGGGTGCATCGTCGGAAAGAACGGCGTACGCCCTGATCCAGAGAAGATAAAGGCGATCACCGACTGGCCAGTGTGCCAGTCGATGTCAAGGGACTAAGGAATTTCCTTGGGCTAGCGTCGTACTTGAACGAATACTTGCGCAATTACGCCGAAATGATAGTAGATCTTTCTTGTTTAGTCAAACAAAATGTAGAGTGGAACTGGAACGCTGATTGTCAGCGTTCCTTTGAACGTATCAAGCAAAGCTTGATGCAATCGCCAGTATTGGCGATTGCCGATCAAGACAGACCATTTCATGTGGTCTGTGACGCCAGTGATTTTGCAATCGGCTGTGAACTAATGCAATATTATACAGACGGCGCAGAGCGTGTCGTCTGTTATCAATCGCGTCAGCTGCAACCGGCCGAGCGCAATTACCCGGTGCATGACAAGGAACTCCTTGCCATGAAGCATGCATTGGATAAGTTTCGCGTCTATCTCTTAGGAGATGGACCGTTCATTGTATATACAGACCATGCGTCACTACGCACGGCTGTAAATAGTCCACACCTCTCGCAACGAATGGCGAGATGGTTGTCGTTCTTCGCGGAGTACAACTTCTCCGTGGAGTATAAACCGGGACGACTTAACGTCGTCGCCGATGCTCTTTCACGTCGGCCTGACCTAGAGACGACTATGCAATCCAAAGTGATGTAAACACCACTGTCGCCACGCTGAGTACCAGCGTCTTGTCGTCGAGCTTACTCGACGACATTAGAAGGGCATGCGCACAAGATAATGATCTTGTACGCCTGATGGAGTATCTCAAGGACCCATCCACGCAAGCTAAGAAGCGCTTGCCTGCCATGTATCGATCTTCTCTCGATCAATACACCCAGCGGAACGGCTTACTGTACTACACAGCCGTCAACAACGACACGCCTCGTGTCGTTGTACCGCCACAACATGATCTCAGGTTACGGATCATGTCTGAATGTCACGATGCACCAATAAGTGGGCATCGCGGCCGTGAGAAGACTTACCTCACGGTCAGTCGCGACTTTTACTGGCCACGCCAGTATAAGTTTGTGCACCAGTACGTGCGTGCTTGCGAGCTGTGTCAACGAGTGAAGCCTAGTCCTTCACTCCGTGCACCATTGCAGCCTCTACCTGTTCCGGCAGAGTGCTGGGAGTCCGTATCAATGGACTTCGTCTTTGGGTTTCCCAAAGACGCTCAAGGGAATAATGGTATTCTCGTGTTTGTAGACAGGTTCAGCAAGATGGTACATCTTGTTGCTGTACCTGAGTCGATCACAGCAGAGGGCTGTGCTCGAGTGTTTATCGATACAATCTTTCGATTGCACGGTTTACCCCGTGAACTTGTGTCCGGTAGGGACCCTCGGTTCACGGCTGAGTTTTGGCGTTCCGTGTTCCAAACACTTGGAACACGGCTCACAATGTCTACTTCTGACCATCCAGAAACTGATGGTCAGACTGAACGCGCCAATCGCGTCCTCGAAGAGATTCTTCGAGGGTACGTCCACTCGTTTACGAGTTGGAGTGAGTTCTTGTCGATGGTCGAATTCGCCATCAACAACTCCGTGCATGCGTCTACGACGCATAAACCGTTCTACGTGAATGGCATTCGCCATCCACGTATCCCCACCTTAGTAGAGGGTGACTCTAATTTAAGGGGGGGGGGACTCGCTCGATCGAGAACCAATCTGGCTCTTGTTCATCACGCGACGACGTTATGGTCGACGCGAAAGTAACCGAAGTCGTACCATTCGACTTCGGTGAAGAGGAGAAAGTAAGAGCGATGATGCTCTTACTGATAACGATGCTGAAGAATCAGCATCGTTCGAGGTATCACAAGTGAGAACAGTAATGTTCTCGCTGAATTAGTAACCGATATCTCTGCAGTGCATTCACAATGCACTGCAGCCAAAAGCAACGAGTCAGCTGAGGATTTCCTGCTGACTCGTGAAGCGGTAGTCCGTTTCGTGCAAGAATCCATCGCAGAAGCGGTGGATAAGCAAAAGCGAAACGCAGACAATAATGGAAGGGCAAATGCTCAAACATTTATTGAAGATGATTTAGTTTTACAGTTAACAGTAAACCTATCTAAACATGTAGTGACTAACGTGGGCAGCAATAAATTGTTGACCAAGTACATCGGCCCGTTTCGTGTATTGCGCCGCCTAGGTAACACATACACGATCGAGTTTCCAAGCAGGATGCGTACGCATCCTACGTTTTACGTGGGACGTCTTCGTCCGTACGTTCAGTACGCGGCTTCTTCGAACGACGAAGATAGCCCTTACTCTCAAGAATCCACTTCAGATTCTTGTTGTCACGAACCAGATTCGATACCTGGTCGTGTAGAGATGAGATCGTCCCATGATATCGGACGATCTCCTGACGAGCTGTCGCCAGCTCGTTACTTAGAGAATGAAGCCGCCGTTCATTCTCCAATAGTGAGACAGCATTGTTTGCTCGAGACTTCTCATGGTCAAACCCAAGCTGTCGCAC